GGTAAGGGATGTTATAGTTTATACTTTTATTATCTTGCATGCTATTGATACTTATACAACTTGTATGTATGCTTTGTTCATAATCTAGAATTTAATTTAACTATTTTCTATATTTAAGATTAAAATATCATGATGGTGTACAACTTAGAATTAAATTGTGGTATGCTAGAAAATTAGGTTTTGGTATGTTTGTTAACATATATTAAATTTGGATTATTTGAAAAAGAATTGTAACTTTTATTTAATAATTTTCTTTTGTGAAAGTTTAATTCTCATGGTTGTACCTTGCATGGAATTAACTTCTGAAGTGCTATTAAATTAGTTCTTGGTATGTTCCTTAACATACTTTAATTTAAGAGCATTTGGATAATTTAAAAAATCTAGAGATTTTAATTAAAAAAATTAATTAAAATCTATTTTATGGCTCCATTAGCTTATTTAAGTTTTTGATGTGATATATGTGATGATTATGCTATGTCTTTTAACATATATTAATTTGAGGTTATTTGGAATTGATTTGGAATATAGAGAATTTAATTATTTTTATTTAATTAAATTCTATCGCATTGTTCCATGGATCTAATTATGTTTTAGAAGTTGTTTCTATGTTTCGATCATGGATTTAGACTTGTTGTGTATTTACTTGGTTATGCTTTAAGTATTGAGTAACATTGTTGTTAAATTTATATTCATGAGTTTATGTTTTCAATATTGAAATATATTGTTATAGCGTGTAATGAATCGCACACTGAAGATTTGACATGTGATGTTATTATAGCGTGTAACAAATCGCATTATGAAGATTTGACATTTGTCATCCTATAGTAGATGTGAACTTAGAGCATGTATTGTGTGGTTCCAACCTACTTGTGCATAGAATGTAGTTTCGTGCATTATTTAATTCGTATATAAGTTGTTAACTTATGTATTTTGGAGTCACTTGGGACATTGTTATAAAGACATGGCTAGAGTTTGGCTTTAGTATGGGAGGTATGAGTTATCCCTATTTTATAGTGTGTACTAAGGTGGTATTCCCAGCGGGTTAGTGCCCGGAATAATTGTTTAGGTCTTGACTTTATCCAGGATTTGATGTCTAAGTCTTTCACTATTTGTTTTCGCATTCAATTCTAAGTTAACAACCAATGTTTAATTGTGACTTGTGGTTTTGGTTATTAGCGATTTAATATTGTTAAGTACATTTATGTATTATGATTTTTAATGAATCATCGCAGGTTTTGATGTTGTTAAGTACATTCAGGCGTTATGATTTTCTAATGAATCATTACAAATTTGATGTTATTAAGTACATCTATGCTATAATGTTCAAATGTAGCTTAGAAATGATCCTATAGATTCATTTAGAACATAGACATTAGGTGGCATGATCCACTTTAGTTATTTTCACATTTTAGATTTCAAGTTGATAACTTTGAGAATCTATATCTTATTGCCCTGTATAACATGCTTCTATGTTATTTAAATTGCATGAATGATGTGATTTATGCTAGAAATGATCTAAGGTAACTTTGGATGCTCCCTGAGTCTCACCTTTGACATAAACGTTAGGTGGCATGACCTTTTTGAATTGCTTCACATTGATGTCATAATCTTGTACAACGTTAGATTCTTGCATGCTCATCTCCTACGAGTAGTTTTATGTTACTCACCCCAAAGTTACCAGGGATATTTTTCAAGTACAGGAATCAAGGTTGAGATTCTCATTATGCTTGGACGATTTGTGGACATGAAGGTTCCATTCTTGTAAAGGTTGGCTTGAAATGCCACTTGTAGCCTTATTTATCAAATGTGTATATTTGATTCTAAATTAGTAATGTGTGCCTAAGCACACTTTTTGATCCTCATTTTATGTATATGATAAAAGGCCAAGGGCCAAACAATATTTGAAATTCATGTATATTAAAAAATGTTGAAATTTGCCTTAAGGGAATATTATGAAAACTATGCGTTTTAATATATCATTTATGCACCAGAGTGTGCATTGTGTATGAAATTCATTATCTAGCATTCATTTAACATGTATAAGGTGTGGCCAAGGGCCAAACACCATTTCATTTTCATTTTTGCTCTTTAGTTTCATACAATTCATTTTTGGGTGAAAATAGAAAATCCGAACATTTAAGGGTTCATATCCAAATCGGGTGATGCAAAGTGTGCACTAGCACATCCATTAGCACTTATTTAGTATGCATGAAGTGTGGCCAATGACCAAATAGTCTTTTGATTGCATTTAGGTTCGGTTCTTGCATCTTTTGCCTTTAAAGGAAAATTTTCAAGCATTTAAGGTTTGATAGGTCATTTTTCTGTATCGGTGGTATTTTTAAGCCGTGGATCATTGTAGCGCATCCTAATAGGTAAGTTACGTCTGTGTGCATGATCGTTTCCCGGCAAAAACCTCTTCCTTGGTGAAATGAGCCTCATTTGGACTCATTTTGCATTTTTGTTGAAAAATCTAGTTTAACAGCGTTTTAGGATTTTCCTTCAGGAGATAAATTTCGGTCTTGACTCCGTCACATAGAAAATGTGATTTTAGGGGTAGTTTCTTCACGGCATATTTCCAGAAAACGTCATTTTGGTCTTAGAAATCCCAAATTCTTTTAAGTTTTCTGTTTCTGCATTTTTTTTTTCCAAGAAAAGCTGTTGCAGTATGCCCTCGGCCCAAAAGAGCCGACTCGGTTCTAAAAGAGCCGACTCTTTTTTCAACCGAGCTGACTCAGTTTACAAAGGAGCCGACTGGGTTCATCTGGGCATCATTTTTCTCATTTTGCATGCTCTCAGCCCAATCCAGCCGACTCAGTTCTTAAAGGAGCCAACTGGGTTCATCCACGCCTCATTTTTGTCATTTTTGGTGCTCTCGGCCTGAAGTGATATTAGGGAAAAATTAGGGTTTTCAAATTGTATTAAAAAAAGAAGAAGAAGAAGAAGAAGAAGAAGAAGAAGAAAAAAAGTAAGTTTTACCTGGGGAATCAATGGCAAACTGATAGCAAAACAAGATTAATTCTCTTTTAATTTTGTTGATGGAGTTTAGAGAAGAATCCGAATAGCAAAAGTGGATGTAAAGTGGAATGTATTGCTTTGCCTTTCTCTTATCTTTCAATATTATATGAGTCGAATGACTAAATCACCCCTCAATATGTGTACAAAATTTTTTTTGAAGGGAAGAGGGGGGGGAGGGGGAGTGGGGAATTTGAAAATTTTATAAAATTTATATATATTAAAAAAAAAAAAAAAAAAAAAATTCAGGGGTGGCATGCGCCCCCCTGGGCACTAGGTCCTCCGCTCCTGCATTTAATCTTTTGTTAACGGTTGGGTGACATCAGCTTTATGGTTACACCTAAATTGAATGATTAGGAGCATATATATATATATATATATATATATAAAGTGTTTTTGTTTTTTAAACTAACCCTTCTTTGATTTGTGATTTTGGATGTCTTAGAAAACTTTAAAGCCCCAAGCTTCAAAATAAATTTGAATAAAATCAGTTTAAGATTATTCATAAACCAATGTAATTTACGTAACTGAGTGGAATTTGTACTGAAATTAGAATCACATGATCTGATCATTACAATCAAATCGAGTTTCCATTTCCATATAATCAATCGGTTGACCCAATGCTGAGTACGTACACCTCATTGTAGGCCAGCTTGTCCACAGCATTGAATATTTTTCTGACTGCGACTCAGAATTGGGCTGTGTAGCTTCGACTTTTTCGAGTACCAAAAGGGTAAGTTGTACTCGTTGACGTATATATCAAGTTTTTACTTGCTGATATAGGAGCATATGATAATAATAAGGCTTCAAGTTGTGAATTGTACACGTGTCATCATTATATGGCGAGTTTACTCTTGGGGTCAATACGAGAGAGTTGCTGCTGTGAGTGCGTACTTTAATATTTTTTGAAAACTACAGGACAACGGTCCTATTCTTTTTTGCCTGCACAATTTTCTATGCCATTTTCAAATGGTACTCTCTCTAAAAACTCAAACTCACATTAAATTACCACTTCCCTCCTTGTATTTCATTTTAAAAAACATGCCTGATAAAAAGTAAGGAAACATTGGCGAGAGGGAAAGGAAGGAAACATTTTGGGAAGGAAGTAAGGGAAAATGATACTCTACTAACAAAAAGGACAATAAACTGCCGATAACTACTGCTGATACTTCTTGCCTCCTGTTTGTTAATGGAAAAAAATATGTTTCAATATGAATTAATAGAAAAAAACCGAATTTAATTGATTTAGTTAGAGTCAAAGGACTTAAAGTTTAGTAATATTTTCTAATCTGTAAAATAAAAAATTGATGGTTCAAGTCTGTATAACCACAAAAGTGAGTCAATTTTTTGTTAATGAAAAAAAAAATATTGATTTAGCTAGAAGAAAAAATAAAAACACTACAAATAATCGCAGTTGTGAACACTATCAAGTATAGTAGAATCGTGTGCACAATGTGATAGCTATGATTGTAATTAACAATCTCCCATTATACTTTTTTTTGTCTAAATTCTGTCACTTTAGAGAATGATAAAATTATTAATTGTGTTTTTGGTCTTTTTTTCTTTCTTTTTCTTATCAAATAACATATTCACAAATCACTTAAAACAGTATTGTATTAAACAGGTCAACCTAAACACCATAGATTTAATAATTATGTTAAAAATTTTCATGAATCATTTAATTATATGACTCGTTTAATAGATTATTTATTCCATCTAACCTGAATGAGTCATACGTGACAAGTTTATTAACTTAAACATAAAATGCAAATATAATGAAAAATTGAGTAATTGAAAGACTTTCATGAAAATGAGGATTATTGAGACAATACAATTACAAAATAGGCCAATACTCCCACTCAAATTGAATAGGATTAATATTGAATTTATTATATTGAAAGAAAAAAATCATTCTTTTTGAAACATTCTAAACAACCATTTTTAAGTTAATTTTTATTTTCTTTTCCCACTCAAATTTTGTTATGTTCCATTTTCCTTTCCCCTTCCCGTCCACCCACCCCTTCAATCTAAATCCACTCTAATTATTAGATTTTTAATTTTAAACACTATAATGATCACAGTTCCCACTACACCCCCCTCCACAATCATCACAGTTTTCACTTCTCTCTCTCTCTCCCTCCCTCTCATGCTCTGTGCACTCACTCACTGCACAGTGATCAAGTAGTAGGAACAACGAGAGAACCTTAACCAGAAAGCCAGTAATGGAAGTGGGTATGTCGATTTGGGGCTTCTCAGCAATCTTGGTAGCAATCCTTCTCAGCCCTCGTTCTCTTGCTCTCACTCAAGATGGTGCTAACTTCATCTCAAATTTTGTTCCCTTTTTTTTATTTATTTTTATTTTTTTCATTTCATGTTTTAACTACAATGTTCTGTGATTGATCTTTGTTTTTAGGTATCACATTGTTGGAAATCAAAAGCTCTTTGAATGACAGCGAAAACTCTCTCAGTAACTGGAGAGATTCTGATGAATCTCCATGCGAATGGACAGGTGTCTCTTGTTATCCCAATGACCAAAGAGTTCGTTCTATGTATGTCACACCTTAAATTTTTTTTTTTAATTTTCTTATAGTTTTTTGAATCATTCACTTTTTTCCCCCTATTTTTGGTTGCTGATTCTGAAACTATGTGTTTTGGTTTTGGGTTTTATCAGAAACTTGCCTTATATGCAATTTGAAGGGTTTATTTCTCCAAGCATTGGTAAACTCAGTAGATTACAGAGACTGTAAGTCCAATACCCCATTTATGTATTTGTCCCCATAAGCTAAGTTAGAGGAGAAACAATTTCTGATTTTGTTTGTGCCATTTTTTCTTTCCAAGCAGGGCACTTCACCAGAACAGCTTACATGGTTTTATTCCTAATGAAATTGCCAATTGTACTGAACTCAGAGCCTTGTAAGTGAAGATTCCCCCCTCTATCTCTCTCTCTCTTTCTCTCTCTCTCACACACACTCAGTTTAATATACCTTCCTGTTTCCCTTTTCGGTTATTAATATTCATCAGTACATTTTTGATATTTGGTTACAAACTTACAATACTATGTACAGATACTTGAGGTCTAATTATCTCCAAGGGGGTATACCATCAGCTATTGGAAATCTTTCTTTCCTCACCATAATGTAAGATTTCTATCTCGTGTCCCTCGGTCCTAATTAGTAGGATAACATAAATTTCGAATAAGCTTCCAATTGAGCTTGTATTTAGTGTCTGCGATTTCCTTATACTTTTCACTCCTAGTTTATTTTTTTATTACTTTTCATCCTATTTGTGGCCAATGACTGGAAATTGAATGTAGGGATTTATCAAGCAATTCACTAAAGGGTGCCATACCTTCCTCTCTTGGCCGTCTTACACGTCTCCGCTCGCTGTAAGTTCAAGTGAAGTTCTAGCAACCTTTTTATTTTTTATTTCTTAATTTTGATAGGTAGGTGAAGTTTGAGAAATATCATGTCTTGGTTGTTCATAAATTTGATTTCATGCGAATTGAAAAGTAATTTGGTGCTCTCTTGAAATGGTATAACTATGCAATTTATTTCAGGAATTTATCTACGAACTTTCTTTCTGGTGAAATCCCAGATGTTGGAGTCCTAAGCACCTTTGGAGACAAGTCGTGAGTTCCCTAATCATCATTTTGACTATGTCCATACTTGAAATTTTCATCCAATTGAAATATTAGCATATATAGGTCACTGTTTATGAAAATGGAGACAACTATATCCTGTAACCTTCTGATATTTGACTTCATTTCTGCTCCATTCATTATGATCTTTTCATGTTTAAATACTTTGAATTAATTATTATATAAATGATAACAATGTTAACAGTTGAACAGCCTACATTGTCTGACAATATGACATTACTATAAATTATAGTAGATTAGATGTACTATGCTGTTATACTTTAAATCTTTAAGAGGCTTTAGTCCAAGTGGCATCCCTTCCTCCACCTTCCACAAGGGAGTTTGAAGATTGAAGCATCATTAGGGGCAATAGCGGGCGTGGGCACGAGCATCTTGAGTTCATGGATGGAAATTTGTCCTCAAGCTTCAAGCTATATAGTATTTCAGTAGATTGGGTCTATATGTTGTAAGCTTGGCTTTCCCAATCTAAAAATCAATGAAATAGGTTGTCTACTCATCTTGCAAGTTTGGCCTTTTCATGTCTTAGTTAATAGCTATATTATAAAGTTGCAGCCTCTACATTTAAGCCCACACATTTCGTCTTTCCCTCCTCCCCCCAAAACCATGATATGGAAGCATAAATAGCAAGCAGAAGCATGAGGTCAAAGTCCTATGAATTTATTTGTTTATTTTTTCTAGGCAGGGTTTTTTTAGTAAAAAAGATCTATTCTATTATCCACGGCTAATGTCGAGTCAGATTCACATTATTGGCCTTGTAATATTTTGCATGTTTGACTCAAGTGATTATGAACTTTTGGTTGGTTCATGCTATTGGATTTCCTTCAAAAAATAGATTTTGGTTGGTTCATGTCCAAGATGTGTCAACCAAGTGTCCAAAGTAGTAAAAATTATGGACAAGACCATGAAGTGTTGGGCACGTGTCTAAGGGTGTCCATGAAATGTCAGTGTTCAACACGGTGTCGGACACCGACATGGCACGTTTGTAGAAGTGTCCGTGCTTCCTCGTTTATAACCTACTAATAAACATTGATATCGCAATATGTTTGCATTGTGGAGTTCTTTAGCATACTGATCATATCTAGACTGATCTAACTTGCACTGTGTCTTCAACTCAACTCAACAACTTTTTCCGTACTTCTTGGGCTTGGCTACATGAATCTTATTTTTCTATTCTTCTGTAAGGTCATAGCATCAGTCAAACAACTTGCACTCGGTCCTATACTCTCCTACTCACTTACATATTGTTGGATTACATGACTACCTGACCTTGATAAGGAATTTGTCAACAAACAACTCTAGAAGAAACCCATAATCTTGAATGATATAGGTTTGAGGGTAGCAGCCACGATCTGATTAATATAATTTTATTTTTGATAGCTGCCACGATCTGATTAATTTTATTTTATTTTTGATAAGTAAAGTACTATAGACCACACTCAGGAGGGGAGTGCATCCCAAAAAGCTACTCAAGGGCCAAATAGGGCCCCTAAACACTCAACGTATCCAAAAATCCACTATCTCTATAGATTTACAATATCTCCCCCGAAGCCAAAAAAAAATTGTGAAGAATGGAGAATTCAAGAACACTTATAGGGAATTCTTCTCCCTCAAGGATCTCCTATTCCTCTCCCTCCATGAAGACCACCACAAGCACAAGGGCACAAGCTTCCAAGCAACTCGAGCCTGAGCTCCCTCTACACCCTCCCACCCAAACAAGCCTCAAGCATTCCTTGTAGAGAGGGGCATAACCCACTGAACCATGAGGATGCCTAGAAGCATATCCACAATCTCTAACCATCAGACAATGTTGAAGAAGATGCTCCACTGACTCCAACATGAAACATTGGTTCACTTGGATCAACCCCATCCTCCTCAAGTTGTCCATCGCAAGGATCCGGCTCAACTGTTGTCCAAGCAAAAAAAAAAAAAAAAACACCTTCAAGGGGGGCCTCGGTGCGACACATGGCCTTCCATGGAAAAGGAAGAGTTTGTGCGCACACTAGTATGGAATAAAAGGACGCACTCCGAATATGCCTTGAAAATAGGGAACCCAAATCCACTCATCCATCCCCTTTCCCTGGACCCTCTGCCGATAAAGCACTGCTAGAAGATCAAAGATGTCCTCCAACTCCCAATCCTAGAAATGCTTCACAAACTTCACATTCCATGTCAGCCCATCACTGCCAGTCAGTCGGCAATCAAGGCATGCCTGTCTGTCACAATCCTGAAGATCCTTGGGTAGATGCAAGCTATAGAACAGTGCCCGCACCAAAGATCCTCATCAGATTGTAATTAACTAGTCAAGAACAAAAAAAATACGAAATTGTCAAGTTTGCTAGTCGACAGGCATATAAAATCAACTAAGAATAGATTCTCCAGATTTAGGCAGCTTTGAAGAGGTCCTTGAGTAATTCTTTTTTCTGCGGAACATTCACACGATGTAAATGCTGCAACATAGCTGCATCTTTCAATTTTTAGGTTATTAAAGATTAACAATTAATACACAAGGAGGAATGAAGGTGCATGCAGCTATTGACATTGTAACAAAATAGTTGTCACCTTGTTTAGACTTTTCTTCAGATAAGTATCAAAACTTGCTAAATTCTGCAAGATCTACAAATATTTTGAATTTACAGTCATATGGTGACTTTTCTTGATCACCATTACCTATTTAGATATATACATATATATCATATATATATTTTTCCTTTGACCTTATTCTGAAGGCTGCCTTGCTTATGCTTAGGTTTACTGGCAACTTAGATCTTTGTGGCCAACAAGTGCACAAGCCATGTCGAACCTCTCTAGGATTCCCTGCTGTGCTACCCCATGCCGAAAGTGATGAAGCTGCAGGCAAGTTGTGTATCAGATTCTTTTAGCGTTAAAATTGGAAGAGGAGATAATACAGCTGCTACTGTCTCCTTTCTACTCCTAGAAAATCATTTGACTGGATTTATAAGCGCTAATTTTGGAAGTTCATTTGTATGTTTGTCGCAGTACCTAAGAAGCGATCCTCCCATTATATCAAAGGAGTGCTCATTGGTGCAATGTCCACAATGGCTCTTGCACTTATCACGCTCCTTATTTTCCTCTGGATTTGGTTGCTCTCAAAGAAGGAAAGAGCTGCTAAAAAATACACTGAAGTCAAGAAACAAGTTCGTCAAGAAACAAGTATGCTAGATGTTTCTTATTATTATTATTATTTTTTTTTTTTTCCCTTTCTGAAAGGTCGTTTCTTGAAATTTATTCTGTTTGCAATTTTCTTCCAGTGCTTACAATTCTAATCATTCGGTAGGTACCAAGTTGATTACTTTCCATGGTGATCTTCCATATCCTTCATCTGAAATCATAGAAAAGCTCGAGTCTCTTGATGAGGAGGATGTTGTGGGGTCAGGAGGATTTGGTACTGTGTATAGGATGGTCATGAATGATTGTGGTACATTTGCTGTTAAAAGGATTGACCGTAGTCGTGAAGGTTCTGACAAAGTATTTGAGAGGGAGTTGGAGATCTTGGGTAGCATAAAACATATAAATCTAGTCAACCTGAGAGGCTATTGCAGGCTCCCTACTTCCAAGCTTCTTATCTATGATTATGTGGCCATGGGCAGCTTAGATGATTTCTTGCACGGTATTTTTCATCTCTTCATCTTGACAATTTGATCATTACTTGTTTTCTCCGTGGGAAAGCATCAAGGAATGGTAATACATGACATTATTGTCTATAATGTCATGTTTGTGACTAGATTATTTTTATGGCTGTAGTCATCTGCGTTTACTTTATGGTTCTAACTATTGCTTTATTATCTAGGCAATGAAATTAGTAGGAATCAGTTACTCAAGTTGTTTTACTTTGGGAAGATCAAAGTGCATTTTTGTGCAATTTGATCCCCCCACCCCCACCCACCCACCCACCCACACACACACAAATCCCCTAAATTTCATACCAATTTTCTGCTTTCAACTTATTTTGTTAGCGTGGCCTCTGTGGCTCTATCCATGTTCCAAAGATGTGCATTGTACTAATTTATTCATAAAAGAGTTAAGGAAGTTTGTGGTGTGAAAAATGGTGGTATTCATTTGCTGATTGATCCTTCTTAGGCATAAAACCTATTTTGAACATTACAAAACCCGATATTTTGGTAATCATGTTCCAGAAATTCATTTATACCAAATAATAACCCAAAATATAGCCGACCACGGAAGCCACCCATAGATTTCTAGCATCATGTTGACATTTTCTATATAAGTCCTAATCTATTTTTTATGATTTCTAGATTTTTCAGTATGTTCCTATAAAAGTCCTAACCCAAAATACATGCTTTCTCACTGGCTTACTGTCTGCTGTATTTTCCTAATATTCTTATAAAACGAGTCTTGGGCGTATCCACTACATACTATGTTGTTCTCAAACTACATAACTGCATAGAAGATGTCATGAATTCTGGCAAACCTAGTGCACGGCGCTCCGGCCATTGCGCGGTCTGGGGAAGATTTCATGAATTCTATTGAAAAATATGCTATTTTGTAAGAGTTGTGTGAGTATGCTTCTAAGACAAAATTAAGTGTTGAGGGTACTTTGATGTAGTAATACCTGCTGGTCTTGATATCTTCCCCGTTATATCTTTCAGAACATGGGGAAGAAGAAAAACCTTTGATATGGAATGCTCGTTTAAGGATAGCCCTTGGTGCTGCTCGGGGAGTGGCATATTTACACCATGACTGCAGTCCAAGGATAGTCCATCGCGATATAAAATCCAGCAACATACTACTTGATGAAAACCTAGAGCCTCATGTTTCAGATTTTGGCCTTGCAAAGCTTTTGGTTGATGAGGATGCTCATGTCACAACTGTGGTTGCTGGTACTTTTGGCTATTTGGCTCCAGGTATGTGCTGTGTGCTTCTTTTTCTCTTTCTTAATTGTTGTCATGATTGAAGGAGGAGAAAGGATGGTTATTCCACACTTTATCTTGAGAACTTTTGGTTGTTGATCCAATTCTTACTCGTGTTTTCTTTTTTCTCCTTTGCTTTTTTCTTTTGGGTTGAAAAGACTGCATAGTTCTTACTTGCAATATGCCAAAATCATCTGGCTGTAGGGTCTCTTCAGAGTCCTTCTCAAGTTTAATTTTCTTCGAGTCCCTTACAAGTTACAACCCAAAGTTCATTGATTGATAATTCAAACAATATGCTTTGGAGATGTTAAAGTGAACTGAAACTGTTCATAGCAAGATTAGAGTTTATAGCCTGAAAAGGAACTAGTTTAAAAAAATTACATTTCAAGCACTTTGATAATATTCTGGAGATAAATGAAGAATATATTTTAATATGCAACTGGAAAAGGATCTCTGACTCCTCAATTGTCTCATTCCAAAAATCTACTCAATTCAAGCATGGAAACTATTAGGGCACTTTTTAGGGGGTTGTTCCAAAATAATGCTATAATGATGCAGGCCTGGTTTCAGTGGTTACACTTTTGTAAGGTGATTTTTGCATGAGGATTATGGTCTGCTAATTTAATTTGCACTTGAAAGGTGGACGGGATATAATGCTCTGGTGGTCAATCAACAACACATAGAAAATGCATACCATCCTCAAGTTCCATAGGAAAGATCAAATAATCCTGAACCACACAATCTGACAGAATATTAATTGCTAAAATCAGAAAAAGTTTCTTTTTTTACAGCAATAGATTTCAAATAATCCCAAACCATAACATTTGAATCTTTTCTCAATTGAAGCCATGGAAGTTGGTTTCTTTGTTTACCACAATAGATTTCATTTAATTTGCCTAACTCCCTGACATGCACATAAATATTCAATTCGCCCTTTAGTAAAAGCTTTTTTAGCATATACCATACTTGCTCTCTCTGTCATGTATGCATTTTATCATTGTCGTTGCAAGTGTTTTTTATTGCAAGGGTAGAAATGGCTAATATCTTCATTATTTGATTCTTGAAAACAGAGTACCTACAAAGTGGAGTAGCCACTGAGAAGACAGATGTGTATAGCTTTGGAGTCCTCTTGTTAGAGCTTGTAACTGGAAAGAGGCCTACTGATCCTTGTTTTGTAAAAAGGGGCTTAAATGTTGTTGGCTGGGTATGCTTTCCAATTCATCCTTGTATATATATATATATATGTATATATATATATATATATACCTATGTGTATGTTATATAAGAGTTTTTACTATTGCAGTTGAACACACTACTGAAGGAGAACCGAATGGAAGACGTAGTAGATAAAAGGTGCACTGATGCAGACGCAGAAACAGTCGAAGCAGTTCTAGAAATAGCTGCGAGGTGCACCAATGCGAATCCAGATGACCGGCCATCAATGGATCAAGTGTTGCAGTTGTTAGAGCAAGAGGTCATGTCTCCGTGCCCAAGCGACTTCTACGAGTCTCATTCAGATTATTGTTGAGTTACATGAGCATCTGGGAACATGGCTCCTACCATTCTTCTCTGCTGTGTATTGGGGGTGTTATGAATGCCCCTTCTTTTGGGGACTGTAAATTCTTATGCTTCTGCAAATGATGATTGATTATTATTATGCACTTAAGGCTGAATGAATGCTTCAGGTAAATTTTCCTTTTCTTTTTGTCTTAAACTTCCTTTGATGCAAGTAATGCAGAAAATATATATCCTTATTTGTTGTTGGCTTTTTGAACTTTTTTTATTTTATTTGATTCTTCAGGGTTAGAAATGTTAGGAGTCCTAGTATATATTGCATAAAACTTTATTGCCTAAAAGTTGCTTGGCCCAATGATTTTTTTGATGTGACCAAAAGATGTGGTTTTGTACTCATAAGATACCACTGGAGTTTGGTCCTCTAGGCTGAATTAATGGTTTAGGTATTTTATAAATCCTTATTTGGAGCTTAAAAATTGGAGGAACAAGATTATAGGACAGGGGACTTTAATCCTGTGAAACAACTAAAATTTTAGTTGGAATGAGAAGGGAAAAATGAAAGAACTTTAAAAAGTGAGAAATTTAACCTTGTGGTTTATAAACACCATACACATAAAATGCCTAAAGCTCATATACAATATATTATTTAGAAGATTGGTTTTATTAATGGGGAGGATAAAGCTTTACTATTAAGCTTTAAATGCGTTGGCAAGCTTTAAAAAAAGCTAAATATTAAGGGCAAGCTGCAAATAATACTCTAAATAAATAAAAATGAAAAGGGTAAAGTACAGTTACCTTTCTAAGGTTTGGCAAAAGGACACTCAGATGAAACTTACCTGTCTTTTGGACAAAAACACTCCCTTAAGGTTCAAAAATGGACAAAGACATCCTTTTACAGGAAAAATTAATCAAATTACCCTTTGACAGTTTAGAAGACTTTTTTTAACTTCAATTTAATAAATTGAACCAATCTACCCTTATAAACAATTTATGCATAAAAAAAGTAACCAAAAAAAGAAAAAAATTTTATATTGTTCACTTTTTTTTTTTAAATGTCCTAACTTCTTAAAAATGTAAACGTTTAAAATGATTTTTTGATCTAATACATGTATTTCAAATTAATTATATATTGTTATTAATTCTTTTCTTTTTTTTTTTTTTTTTTAATTTTTAAATTAAGATACTTAATTCTTACATCTAAAAAAATTAAATCAATTTATTTTCCTTAAAAATAAAAAATATAGTATATATCAAATATTAAACAATATATTAAACAATATAATTTTATGCATCTTAAATTATATATCAAATATTATGCATTTTCTAACATAAAAAGAAAAAAAAAAATAATAATAATAAAGGGAAAAAAAATAATAAAACAAAGGGGAAAAAAAACAAAGGCATGCATAAAGTTAAGACGCATAAAGTTATACTGGTACTTATTTTCTTTTATGTTGGGAAATGCATAATATTTAATATATAATTTAAGATGCATAAAGTTATACTGGTACCATATTTTTTATTTTTAATGAAAAGAGATTTGTTTAATTTTTTAGATGAAAGAATTAAGCATCTTAATTTAAAAATAAAAAAGAAAAAGAAAAGAAGTAATAACAAAATATAATTTATTTGAAATATATGTATTGAATTAAAAAATCATTTTAGACGTCTACATTTTTAAAAAGTTGGGACATTTATAAAGTAAATAACTAAAAAAAAAAGAAAAAAAAAGTGAACAATATAAAATTTTTTTTTAACTTTTTTCTTTATGCATAAATTATTCATGAGGGTAGATTGGTCCAATTTATTAAATTGTAAAGTTAAAAAAGTTTTCTAAACGGTTAAAGGGTAATTTAGTAAAATTTTCATATAAAGGAGTATCTTTGTCCATTTTTGAACCTTCAGGGGCTGTTTTTGTCCAAAAAGCAGGTAAATTTTCTTTTTACTAAACCTCAGAAAATGTGACTGTACTTTACCCAAATAAAAAATAACCCTTCAACTATTTGACTTTGACAACATACCCCTTGATCAAAAGTTTGCCAATAAACACATTATTTTATTTTTTAAAATATTTATATATGTTGATTTTTAAAAAAATCACTACATCAAAGGACATCTAGTCTAATAATATAGCATCATCATCTTCGAAGAAGGGAGGATATGTTTGAGCGTGGGTGTTGGAAAAAAGTGTTTAAGTGAATATTTGAATGTGTTTCTTGCCTGATAAAAAAAATAATAATAAAAAATAAAAATGAATGATGTAGGAGAACAATAATTTTACATGAAATTAATGTCAAAGAAAATGGATTCTTTTAAATAAATTCTCAACTTATCACTCACCTATTGATGCATGAACAGGACGACCCCCAAGTTCAAAACTTAGTTGCATTCGTTGAAGTGATTAAACAATGATTGATCAGAGAAGTGTTTGGAGCCATCTTCCTCACCTAAGATGCTCTTTACACTTCAGATACTCTTCACCCTAGTTTTCAAAACGCATAGGAGATGTCTATCATTAAACCTCAAGTCAGTCTTGCCAAGGTAAACAATAAGAAAAAAGAAAAAAAGAAATAAACCAATAGGAAAATATATTCATAATGAATGCATTTCAGTGAAAATTACAAAATTACTACAAACGAATAGTTGTTTGAAAGAAAATATTCATAAGAATGCTTCCAAGTGAGCTCACGTACTCCATTATTGAATCAACAACATTTGAAGAATGTGAGATATAAATTTATAATGTTGGTAAATTTTGGAGTCAAAACTTGATGATCAAGTTATAATTTTGTTTATCTTGAGTCTCGATTTGTTGGAGTTGAAACGTAAGTGCCTCTTACCGTTGAATCCATTGAAAACATCATTTAAAATACGTGAGTGAGTGGGGATTACTTGTGAGTATATTTAAAGTTGGGTACGAGAATTTAGGTTAGAAATAGTATTCAACAAAGTCCAACTCATTGCATTTCATTTTTAGAATCGGTTGAACTTCCTCAATAAAATTAGCCCTTGGGATAAATATGCTTGAATGTGCGAAAAATCATATTTTGGTAACTTTTTAGTATCCTATATTTATCCAAAACTTGTAGGGCAGTCCCTACAGATTTTAAAAGTTATTTTTGTCTGTTGTAAGGACGCTATACTATATATATAATATCTTTCACAAACCCTAGGTGTGTGTAGAGAAATTGATTGTTTCAACTAAAAAAAAAACAACGGTTTTCATCTTTTACACATCATTGAAGCTTTTTGAGAGATTTCTTCAAAAAAATCCGAGCGTTTATTTTTTAGAGCACATACTTATACACGAGAGTGATTAGGGTGATGTTCTTCTACTGATCAACACAAAAACTTCAGAATCTACATCAGATTACAAGTTGATCAGAACAACATATTTTTACAAACCTTCACAAAATTATTATATTGAGGAAGCGGAGGTTTTGATCACACTTTGAAGGGGTTAAGACATTCGTGGAATGTTGGTTGATCTAAAACGACCCTTCTACAAAGACAAAAAGTAAGCCTGAAGGAAAATGAGGTTTCGATCACACTTTAAAGGGGTTAAGACATTTGTGGAGTGTTGGTTGACTTACCAACGACCTTCTACAAAGATAAAGAGTAAGCCTAAAGTCGAGTGCTATTGAATGGGGGAGTTATAAAGCCAGGGACAATCATCAATTGGTTTTTGGTAGAGCGAAAGGGTGTCACTTAAGTCATAGTCCATTGTAATTTGCTTTAACAATAGTGGATCGTTTCGCTTAGAACTGCGAAAGTCCTCGAGGTTTTTCCTAGATGATTGGTTGATTTATACCAATCATGATTTCTTCATTAAAAACCCGGTGTTATCTCTTAAACTTTAGTTTACTTGTTTTATTTTACTGTATTTATTTTTGTGGTTGTCGATATTTAATTGATCATAATTGTGGTAAATATAATCAATAACCGGGAAAGTTGATCTATTCACCCCCTCTAAGTCGTTTAGAGTGTTAATAACAACTTAATCAACATAAATTTCCGCACCATGCTACTCATATTTGATATCAGAGCGGTTTGCTCGACACATTGAGTAAATCATACGTTTTGATATTGTTGTGATATTTGTTCATCATATCTTTACTTGATTCCTCTGTTGATGTTTTGGTTGCTTCTCATGTTTTTAATTATGTCACAAGCATGCATGTTGTTTAAACCCCATTTTTCCCCTCCCCTTTCAAACCACCAACCTTACACACCTTGAGAAGGAATGACGTTTCTACATTCCAAAAAAAAAAAAAAAAAAACACGACATTTCCATATTCTGAGACCATTTCTCCGGCAAGGCCTGCCTACGATAAACAATTGAAAACAGACAATCAGACTGTCTGATTGGATATTGGACTTCACATTACACTTATGACATCACAAAACAACACAAAATATTTCAATTGACCATATCACACATTTCCTGGCACCTGAACACCAATTCCCTGAAAAGGGCAAAATTGGCAGTTTACACTACAACCTTGTGATTCGATTATCAAAAAGGAAAACAAACTTCACCATTGAGTCAAAAGCACCCAAAAACCATACGATACACCTCTCCTTGAGGTCTCCACCCTTATCCATCACACACTTTGACCAAAACCCTCGGAGGGGCCTGAGCGGTCAACCCCAAATTTGACTTTTAACACTAATGATCAAACTCACTCACAAACCTCACCATTGTGCTTAGAGGGTCCAGAAACCTAGAAAAGCAGTGTAATATTTCATACCTTCTAGCCCGGCTCCCCCTTGACCAAGTCTATACGATAGGAACCAATCAGTCAATTCCAAGGTTTGATTTTTCCTCCAAAAGGTCAAATGGACAAATGGACATCACCATTGAATTCATAGGGTCCAAAACCCTAGAAACCATTATAATATTGGCCATCTTTCGGTTCGGGGCCACTTTGACCTAATTTCCATCCCTAGGGGCAAAACAGGTAAAACTGCACTGCGCATGGATTTTTAGCAATTGCAAAAGGAAAAAATATGCCACATTAGAAGTATGAGGTCATCATGAAGTAAAAGATCCCAAGAAATGGCCTTAAATTCAAAAATGGCATGAAAATACAAATTTTGAAAATTTAAGGGCAAAAGAGGAAATGACTGAAGAAAAAAAATTGAAAAAGGACCCCGCGCCCGAATTTTTCATGCTCGGGTAATCTTTTTGAGTTCATTGCATTCCGTAATTATTATTTGGTATGTGTGTGTGTGTTTAGGTGATTAAATCATATTATGGTAGCATGTTTGTGGTGTAGGTTGCATG